TCCTTCAAGGCGGGCAGTGTACGATCCACGCATCGCACGAGCGAGATCGCTTTAAATATTCGCGCCAAACCTGCAGGCATCCACGTGTCTTCGCTTATTTCCGCGCGCTCCCGGCAACGGCACGGAATCTCACCCCCCCATTTTTCGATTGTTTTTCCGCTGTTCTTCTCTTACGACAGCGACACGCACGATTCTGCAGATCGACACCAACCACGAATCTCGCCGGTTGTTCTTAAGTTCTCTCTCTGTTATATTCACGTGAAATAAAGTGCTATTACTAACAGAAAATAAATAGTGGAAGACAATTTTCACGACCACGCCGCGAGGTCCATGAGCACCTCGCACGCACAGAAGCGAATTATTTCGTACACCCTTTTTCTTTTAATTCTTTGTCTCTGTCACTGGTTTCTTCATCTATTATCTTGTTTTCTATGTCCTTCAAGGTCGGTATTTTATCTCGAAATAGTCGACGATAGAAAAGTTCTGATGGTGACTTCCCTGTCACCGAATGTGATGTACTATTGTACATTATAAAGTAAGTTAATAAATAATTTCTCCAGTTATTTTTTTCGATTTGACTTATTCTCAGTCGTTTTAGGATATTTCTGTTTTTTTTGTCTCTCCACTTCTCCGTTTTGCTGAGGCCAATAGGGGATAGTATTATATAGCGTGATATTGTTTTCTTTGCAAAACTCTTCGAACTCTTCGCTTATGAACTGCTTACCGTTGTCAGCTGTGATGGTCATTGGGAATCCCACTCTTGAGAAGGTCTCCTTCAACATCTTTATGGTTTCCTCGCTAGTTGTGCTTTTTGTAATCTTTATTTTTTTATAGCGGCTAAAATAATCAATGATAACAAATATATAGTGGCCGCTTGGTAGAGGTCCTAAATAATCAATCGCGGTGTCAACCCAGGATTCTGTTGGTAAAATTCTACGTTTCAGTGGGTTAGGTGGATCGGGTGCAAATACTAAAGTGCACCCTTTGCAGCTTTTTACTCAGTTCTCAGCGTCTTTATCTATTCGGGGCCACCACACTTTTGTACGGAGTCTGGTCTTCATGGCCACTATGCCCGGATGACCTTCATGTGCAGCTTCCAGAATTCTTTGGCGCAACTTAGCTGGTATCACAATTTTTGTACCTCTCAGTAAAATTCCCTCTTGGTAGCACAGTTCGGTTTCGAATAATTTATAGGCATTGATTTCCTTGTCCCAATTATTTTTGTATAAACCCTTTCTGACCTTAGTGACTTCAACGTCGTTTTCAGAATATGCTTTGATGTCTTTCAGGGAGACGGCTACTGGTCTTGTATATTCTAAAATTTGGTTGACGTAATTTTCGTTTTCGAATGGCTGTGCTGCGTAATTATTGCCGAGTCTTGAGAGAGAGTCCGCTATATTGAACTTGCCCGGTCGGTATACTACTTTATATTTGACAGCTTGTAGACGTAGAACCCATCTTTCGATCCTTGCACAGGGTTTCGATCTGGACCCGAATGTGACTTCTAGTGGTTTATGATCCGTGACTAGTCCAAACTCGCTCTTACCAAATAGGTATATTTTGAAGTGTTCTACTGCCCATACTAGTGACAATGCTTCTTTTTCTGTTTGGCAATATCTTTTTTCACAATCTGTAAGGCTTTTGTTTCCATAGGCTATCACTCTGGGTCCTTTGTCATTAAATTGTATAAGAACTACTCCTAACCCGACAGGGCTGGCATCTGCTATTACTAGTGTCCGATCGTTGGGGACATAATATCCGAGCGTTGGTGTCCTCGTTAAAGCAGTCTTGAGGTTATGGAATGCTAGGTCTTGTTCATCTTTCCAGAATGCCGTAATGTCCGTTTGTTTTCCTAGTTTCATTCTTAGAATTTTCCTAAGCGGTTCCGTAATAGTTGCCATATTCGGTATCCATTTTCCTACGAAATTCACAAGTCCTAGAAAACTTTGGACCTCGTCAATGGTCTTTGGTGATCTAAATTCTTTTATAGTAGTAATATATTTCGTTAATGGTCTTATTCCTCTCCCGGATAGTTCATGTCCTAAAAATTGTATTGTCATCGCTCTATAGATACATTTTCTTGTGTTTACAAGTACGTTATTTTCTTTTAGAATTTCCATGGTGTATGTTAGTCTCTTATCGTGTTCTTCCAGATTCGCTCCAAATACTAAAATATCGTCTATAAAAACTATAGTGCCCTCACAACTTAGTAACATCCTTTCCATGATTTTCTGAAATGTTTCAGGTGCACACGTTATGCCAAACATTAGTCTTTTAAATCTATACAGACCTTTACTTGTGATGAATGTTGTTATGTCTCGTGAATTCAGTGTTATCTCTACCTGGTGGAATGCGTCCTGAATGTCCAATTTGGTGAAGTATTTCGCCCTTCTGAAATTAGGTAACAATATGTCCATTGTTGGAAGAGGGTGGTTTTCTCGAATGACGGCCATATTTGCCCTTCTCATGTCAATACATATACGAATGTCCTCATTTTCTTTTAGTATGGGTACTATTGGAGAAACCCAGTTGCTAGGTTTGTTTACTGGCTCGATTATATCAGCTTCCACTAGTTCTTGCAATTTCCTGTTAACTTTTTCTTCAAGTGGTATCGGTATTTCTTTTCATGAACTTCCAAGTATTTTTATTTATCAGGTTACATTTGCATTCCGAATCAATTAACATCTTCACCGGAACTTTTCCTACTTCACAGTCGAGTTCGGTGTCGTCATCAATGTGGAACACGTAATCCACATTCTCCTCACTGCTTTGGGCCTTTTTCGCAGGGTTGGGGTCATTCTTCTTGTATTTCCCTTGATGCTATTTCGTATTCTTATTTTCAAAGTTTTCTGTGTTCCACTTCCTTTTCTTTGTCCTACAGTAGTCGTAGAAATGTCCCATGTAACCACATTTAGCACATTTTTTGTTTCTTGCTAGGCACATTCTATCCTGCGATTGATAATCTCCCCACATCTTGTGCAATTATTCTTGTAGGGTTGTCGTTTAGTTTATATTTTATTGATTTCACTTGTAGTAGGCTTGTCGTTGAAACCTTCGAGCTGTCTGTTAACGGCTTCGAGGGTGTTTGCTTTTGTTATTATGGTTTCAAGGGCCTTATCTCCGGAAATTAAAATCTTTTTCCTCAACTCTGTCGAGGAACACTTTTCCGTAATTTGGTCTATAAGATTTTCTTCGATGTTTGAAAATTTTCATTTATCTGCCTGATAACGTAGTCGAACCAGAAATTTTTCTAACTTTTCACCTGCTTCTTGCTTCATAAGACGGAATAGGTGTCTCTCATAGATCTTGCTTTGTTTTGGAGAAAAATACTCATCAAGCTTTGCTATGGCCGTTTTATATACGTCGGTGTCTTGAGTTTCATCGGTGTGTGCTCCTGGTATATTATAGTAAATTTCTTGTAATGATAACCCTGTAGTATGAAAAAGTATCGCTCTCTTTTTCGCGTGGTTGGTCACGTCCAAGGCCTGGAGAAAAACCTCGAACGCTCTCTTCCATTTCTCCCATCTTATCCCGACCGAGCTAGGCTCTCCTCCACAGTCAAAATTTTCTAAAGTGGATATAGATGACATGTTTGATAACATGTTTTCCTTTAATCTGAAAAATAATTCACACTTTATGCTTTGTAGTTCTGTTATTATCACGTGACTAGGATCATATCTGAGATTGCCTTTTAGCAGTACTAATATAAATAATTTCCGACCATAGTACTGTTCGACGTAGTCTTTCCGGTACTCAACTTCGATCGGTCTAGTGATATATCAGACTTTTATTTATTATTTTCCGCATGGTCTGGTAACTTGCCTGATCCTTGATTATATTTCACATGGTCTGGTAACTCGCCTGACCCTTGATTATATTTCACATGGTCTGGTAACTCGCCCGACCCTTGATTAAATTTCACATAGTCTGGTATGAATTTTATGCTTTCAAATTCAATAAAATTTGATTTACTTACCATCCCAAAGAATGGATTTCCGCTATCTTTGTTCTAGAGATGGGCGATGCTAAGAAAAATAATCGATTATTAAATAATCGATTGTTCAGATAATCGATTATAGACAATCGATTATTTTCCAACAGGATAAAATACACAAAAAATAAAAAAACAATCGATCATTTTATAAAAATATCGACAAAACATCGATTATTTAATGAAAAACTAAATGTGAAAAATTTCAAACACAAATCTAGAATTAAAGTCAACAGTGATTGTAATGGTAGTTACCAGATAAACGGTTCTTACAAACCTGATACATTCAGTTCACTTGGATTTAAGTCAAACATGAAGTCAAACGTCAATGCAACGGTAGAAAGTGCAATGCCGCTCTATGGAGGAAGATTTAACTTCAAATTTTACTTAACTAACCGAACGTTATTTCTCCCGGCTTTAGGATAATGTCATTTATTTACTTATTTATAAAATTATACAAATAATACATTCAAATCACATAAATTATTGAATGTAGAGCAGATAATCAAAGTTGTCAATTCATTGCATTTTCTCGAGTATCTTTGGTTTGTGTGTACATCATTGTTAAATGTCCTGAATGTCTGAAATATAAAAAAATATAAATTCCATGTATATTAGGTGACCAATATAAGTAATACAATACATAATCAAGTATTTATTAATAAAGTATTTATTATTATGTGTTTAGAGTGAAACGGTCGCATTGAATGTATATATTATTGCATATACAAGTATGTATATATAAAGCAGGATAATAATAAATATAGGAAAGTGTGTATACCGTGTATTACATGCCAAATGCCAATTTCAAGTGTATAATGCATCAAATTAAAGTTACAAACATAAAATACATACCACATAAAATACGTACACACAATTATAACAGAGAAATAAAATATATAATGTGAAGCATAATGTTACATACACGCAATTATAAGAGAATTATAGAGAAATGATATAAAATTTAGAAAAATGAAGTATCTGTAGAGAACAAAGTTTGATTTTTATGTTAGTCAAGTCCCCAATTTTTTTCGTCAAGTGAACCCAAAAAGAGTAGCCTATTCAGTCGGTTTCCACTAAGTCTGCTTCGTAAGTCTGACTTGATAATTCCAGCTTTTGAAAACACGCGCTCAGAAGGTACCGAAGTTGCAACGACAGATAAATAACGTATTGCAACGGTGAATAGTGTTGGATAGGCAAGCTTAAGTGTCTGCCAATGCTTAAATGGATTTTGATTTCGCGGAATAATTGGCTGGTTTAAATATTGCCGTAATTCAAGATTCATGCCACCAGGTTCATCGAAAGATGATGCGCATGACTTCATTAAATTGTCATGAAAAGTCCACACGTCGAACTCATTAATTTCACTGTTGGTTTGTGGCTCCAGATCGTTTGCTTTGTTCAACTCCATGTTATAATTAGCAGCGACTGTCTTTAATTGAAAATTTATATACGATATAGCGGCGGAAACAGCTTTTGGTGACTGGAAATGCATGCGTTTGTATCGCGGGTCCAGAATGGTTGATACTGCAAGTAACTTATACAACTCAATATCTTTAAAGCGTCGCTGTACTTCAGACAAGATGTTGTCTCTAAATGTATTGCCTTCAACAGTTAAAGCAACGCAGTTTTTTATGGTGCCTTCCATGCAGTGAATAACAGGAATCACCAAGCTACTAGTCGGATATGAATCACCGCTTATCTCAGTAGTGACAAATTCGATTGGACCTAAAATTCTTACAACATCTTCTAAGATATCGATTTCTTCGCGAGAAAGTATTTTAGGAGCTGTTGGACACGTTAGAAGCACAGAATATACATAATCTTTTAGTTGTAGAAAACGCTCAAGCATATAATATGTTGAATTCCAACGTGTCAACACATCTTGTTTGAATTTTAATGCTATACTGTCAGTTTTTCCGTCACGTATCTGTAATCGTTTTAGCTCGTCAGATGCCACGACACTTCGTTTTACTAAAGTCACAATAGACTTTACTTTCCCAATTATTTCCCCGATACGAGGGCTTAGTTTTATAGCGTCTGGAACCAAGTGAGATAGAGCATGCGCGATACAAGGTAAATGTTTAGTAGAACCAAATCCATCGGTGATTGCTTTCACCATATTAGCAGCACTGTCAGTGACAAAAGCTGTGATACTTGTTACATCTATTCCGAAAGATTCTATTATGGATACTATAGTTTCTCTAATATAGTCAGCAGTATGATTCTGCGATAGTGGAAAAACACCTATCGTTGCATTTTATAAGACTAGTTCATGCCGTAAATAATGAATAGTAACACCAAGATAGCTTTGGTTAGTCACATCCGTCCAGATATCACACGTTAATGTGTACGTAAAACTAAGTTTCAGATCATTTTTAAAGTTGTCTTTTAGAACATCATACTTAGCATCAATAAGGCGGGTTATGGTTCTTCTGCTAGGCACAGTACATAATGGGACCGCCGCATTCATGAGACGTTTAAATGCCTTAGAGTCCACGATAGACAATGGTAAATTTTCTGATGCAATCATAAAAAGAATACAGTTCGTGAGTTTATTTGCTGCAGAACCTCCCTCTGTAAATAAAAAAAGAGAAAATATTACATAGTGCGACTTATATTTTACTTGGTTAAGATATTAACTTAAATATATTATGTTACTGACCCATAAAAGAATTAACTCGCGTAAATGAATCTGTGATCTTGCAATTAGTTTCTTTCGCTTTAGCCTGAAAAAATAACTTTGAAACATGGACATACAAAGATAAACAATGACATTAATTCTAGTAAACATTTTTTATGTTAAAAATATTTTCATTCTAAATCATAGCACTAGGAATGAAAAAGTATTTATGTAACATCGCTCCAAAGTTCTTAGAGTAATTATTTGGAATCAGGTTTTTTTAATGACTTTATCACTTAATAAAATACTCTTACGCTTTAGAACCAAAGAACATTGTGAAAAATCGATAAATAATTAATTTGTAGTTATAAAATATGAAATGCTCGTGAAAATTAAGCGATATAATCTGCATTTAATTCTACATATAAGATTACCTTGTGCTTAGGTTTTAAACCCTGGAGTGAGTGTGAACACTGTGAACTCATTACAGATGATACGCTGTTTTTTTATTCAGCATTAGAAATTTGATTAATTGGTATTGGATCATCAACATTACTGTCAGATGACGTATCCATCAAAGATATTGCTTGCTCTTGCACTATAAAATTCAACATATTAGATGGTGTTTCTACTAATTTATTTTCGTTCGTCGTACCTGCAATATGTTTCGTTTTTAGGTGTTTGGGCAATGTAGATTCAGTCGAGTTTGTTTCCGCATGTATTTTGTGTACATTTTTATAATGGTTGCGCAGGTTTGTCGTGTTACCCCCATGTTTCAGTACTTTCGTACAAATTACACATCGAGCAGAGGTTGAACTCTCTTTTATAAAATGCTTCCACACATCGCTCTTAATGTTAGTGTTAACTTTGTACTCATAACGTTTATCTACAATTCAAATAAGGCATGCTTATGGTTTTCCAAAATTTATTACATTTTACTGTCTGTACAGTCATCGGCGTTAAATCGTTTCGCAAGAGGGGAAGTGCGACTTGTTTCTCCACGAGTTCCTCAACGAGGGAGGAACAATTCCCCTTTCGCGAAACGATTCATTGCCGGTCAGTATACAGTATATGTCGTGTGTGTATATATATACATACATATATATACGTATACAGTAGAAGTTATACGATAGAAGAAACTACATACCTGCGTTTATTTATACTTCTCGAATGTTCGAAACGGTAGGTACTATATACTATATACGCGCGGGGTGATACAATGGGATGATGCAGCTACGAGGATAGAAAAAGTTCCTCTTCTAGGTTAGTTCCATTCACTGAACGTCTCGAACGGAACTGTGTTGGCACGCTGTAAAGAGAGAACGTGTCTCGTGATATATATATATATATTTTTTTTTTTAATTAGACTCGGTTTGTTTTTCCGGGGTTTTGACCCACGGTTTCATTTTATCTGGTGATAGAATGGTATTTAAAGGTCTTTGGCTTAAGTTAAATCCGGGTATATCGGCAATAACATATCGATTTTTCTTTAATACAGCTTTGACTTGATAGGGACCTTTAAACTTTGGCAGCAGTTTCTTATTTATGCCTGGAGGCTGCTGTGTTATTCTAACTAGAACTAAATCTCCTACTTTATATTTGGTAGGCTTTTTATGTCGTTTATCGTATTGCGTCTTATTATATTCCTGTAACGTTCGATTAACAAATTTCGCTGAATCCCGAATCTCCGTACGTATTTTTTCGATATTCGCATCTATTTGAGTTAGTTGCTCAATCATTTCCTTGAGTTCTTTATCGTCGGTCTGTCGTTGGTCATATCCCAGCAACATTTTACTGGGAGTTGTGTCAATTGCTTTGTGTAGAGTGTTATTGATAACAAATTGAGTTTTCCCCAAAATTTTACCCCATTTTGATGGATCGTCCGCCGTTTTTGCTAGCGTAGATTTGAGAAATCGGTGCACCCTTTCTATTTGGCCGTTGGCCCATGGCGATGCTACTGCGGTTTTGATATGTTTTACTTTTCTCTCGCCTAGGAAATGCGCGAAGTTCTGAGAGGTGAAGGCAGTCCCTCTGTCGCTTATTACTCTTTCTGGGTAACCGAATAAATCGAAGAGTTTGTTTAGACATTTAATTGCTTCTTCTGTGGTGGTGGACTTGGCTGGAAAAAGCCAAACAAATTTAGTGAATGCGTCCACGATGGTTATAATATATTTAAACCCCCCTTTTGTAATTTCTAGAGGTCCGAAATGATCCATATGTAACGTATGAAAGGGTACAGCGACTTTTTCAAATATTTCCAATTCTCCCTCCGGTTTTCCTCCCATTACGGAATAACTCAAGCATTCGACACAATTTTCGACATATTGCCGGACCCGATGCTTAAGACATGGAAACCAGTAGTGCCCCATAATGCCGTGTATGGTTTTGTCTACTCCTACGTGACCCATCTCATCATGGTAGACTCTAAATATGCTATTAATCATATTTTCTGGAACAACAAACAAATGTTTATCTTGGTATTTACGGAAGACGAGGCCGTCTATTAGTACAAAGTATTTTTGGTCTCTGGTTTCCAGATCCTTTGCTAGTTTATTTGGGGGTCCGCTAACTGTTTATACATAACTTCATCTTCTATCGATATTAAATTGATTGTCATCGCATTACGGCTTAAACAGTCTACGTGTACCATTTTATGTGACGCTCGGTGTATTAGTTCACACTTATAATTCTGTAAGAACAAACTCCATCGAGCTATTCGCGGGTTGATGTTAATTTTCTTCATAGCCAATACCAAGGAATTACAATCAGTCACGATACGGAAAACTATTCCTTGCAAATATACATGAAAGCGTTCCACCGCTTTAACAATGGCTAAAGTTTCTAGTTCGTAGCTGTGGTATTTTTTTTCTGC